GAACGACAAGATAATGATTGGGAAAAAACATATTTTTTTTCATGGAGATTCATCGAATATTGTTGCACGTGTTAAAAATGATGTTCATGGTTGTTTTATTTCATCTGTATCTGAAGATATTGATATATATTTATCAAGACTTTACGAGATAAATATAACATCTGATAAAATTCTTCACAATCGTTGTTTGAAAATTTCATCCAAGGAACAAATAATTATTAATAAAATGATTCAAAAACGACAAACTATTATTAAACAAATAATAAAAAAAAGTCATTTTCATATGAATCTATGTGAAGAATATTATAGAAAAATAATTGAAGAATTTGTTGCTAAATTAGAAATTGAAATGTCAAAACATTTAGATGAATTACAAAAGAAAATGGAAGAAACCAAAGAACACGTTTTTATAAAATCACACGATAAAATTAAACTTTTATCAATAAAAGTAGAAAATGCTAAAAAAGAATTTCTTCGTCGATTAGAATCTGCTACTAAAGCTAAACGTCAAGAAATCTTAGATCAAATAACAAATATTTCCATAGATAAAACACGTCAACCTATTGGTTATGAACAATTAAGAGAACTTAATCTTAAAATGTATTCTACTGTTGGTGTCAAGCCAGATGGACAAGGTTGTGTTAATATACCTGAGAGAGACAAATATATCAAAGACATTAAAAATGTTAAACAACATGGAACACCTAAAAAACAATTTTATAGTACAACTGATCTAATTCAACATTCGGAAATCGTAAACAAAATCAATAAATAATCATCAATTAAAATTACTGAAGAGAACTTCAATAACGTTTTTTTTTATATTGTTTTGAAATCTTTATATTCTATTCAATTATTTTAGCTTAGAAAGAAAAAGAACTTAGTTGAATAAACTTTCCAAATTTTGATTGAAAGTTCAATAAAAAGCGAAATTCGTACATTGAAACTATTGAACCTTTTATATTTTGAAGTAATGAAATAATCTATAATAGAATATTAGAAAATATTACTTGGATCATAAAAAAACAACTTCTCTTATTTGACTTATTTCTATGATATTCGAGTGTGAAGTATACGCTTCTTTTGTCGAACCCCGGATGTTTGAAAAGAAAATAAACAGTATAAATTCAAACCGAAGCTTTTTTGTACGAACCTGCAATCGAACAGTTGGAGATGGAAAGAGGAAAGATAACAATGATTGGGTACATTTCTCCAGTAAACAGAGAAGTTGAAGGGTCAATAGAGTTTGTAGAGCTTTTAATTCTAAGCAAAAATTTTTTCTCTTGATGACAATATAATCAAAATAATGTAAAAAGTAAAAATAAAAAATCCGTAAAAAACTATTTTGCTTTTGAAAAAGTTTCTCCGAAAATTCCCGTAGCATTGTTTATTAAATTGTAGCTTACAAATATAATCAAAGATCACATCTGAATTCCTTGTGAGATAAAGTATCAGATCAAATTAAATTGAATTTCAGCTTAAAAGAAAAATTCCATGCCACTTATGTTCTCATAGATCACCGATGGCACAAAAATCCAATATTATCTTGCTTTGTTGATTATTCCAAAAGGCTATTCAATTTGTAATTTTCTCAATACTCTTATGAGAGAGTTTGCAAAATGGTCGTCGAGAAAAAACTTTACATTTTTTATTTTGTTCTCTTAAATAAAAGCGATCGATAAGTCAGATTTCGATTTTAATTATCCGTATCTCTAATATAAGGATGTTACGATAGAATATCTCATATTAATTTACCATAAACACATATATGAAAAATGAATAAATCACTAGACGCATTTCATCTAACAAATATCGCTATTTTAGAACAAATCCATTGGATTCGATCAAGTTGAAGCAAAAAGTGTAATCATTTGTTG